ACCATCGGCTTAGTACCGTCTGTTTTCCCGAGAACACTCTTGTCCACCCAGGGAAGGAGGCGGTGTGGACCAAGCCCACTGCCCCCTCCATATCCTCTAACATCAAACAGCTGGGTCAAGCACCCTCGGACGGCACTCCGGCTGGGGCAGCTGTGAGGGCTCTCCCAGTGGGGCCAGGGCTCAGGAAGCATGCAGAGTACCCAGTGGGGAAGCAGGTGCAGCCCACAGCCTCCCATGAATCCTGGGGACATTTTCAGGCTCCACTCCCTCCAGTGCTTGGAACTCTGTCCTGAGCGCACAGGGAAACAGACGTTCTGGCATGGACGGATTTGCTGTGAAGCAGGACTTTCTTAGGACCAGCCCCATCATCCAGGCTTTTAGAAACCGGATCTGACCCCTCAGACAGCTGGGCAGGGAAGATTCCCAAACACCCCGTCCCGGAGGGCAGCTGGGACCCCGTGGCCGTGCCCAGGGAGGAGAGAGTGGGGAGAGGAGAGCGGCTCCTGGACTTGCCCACTAGCGCAGCCTGTGAAGCTGGCCTGTCCCCATGTTGCTGGTGGGGCACCCTGGGCCCGCCTGGGTCGCAGGCAGCACTCACTTCCGGCCACAGGAGGGCACCATTGGTCAGAACACATTCTTAATCCTGGTGATGGACTTTTGTGGGTGTCTGTGGTGGGCACCCCACATGCCCCAAACCATGCATGGGAAGCTGCCCCCCGAGTTGTCTCCCGAGAACCCTGCTGCCCTGTGGAAGCCACCCAGAGGAAGGGGACTGGCACGGGGCAGGAGGGGCACTGATGGGGACCCCGCCCGTCCCCCCTGCTGCTCCCGGAAGCTGTGCCCCGCCAGCTATCTCGGACCTGGAGAGGCAGTACCCTCCTGGTACCCTGAGACTTCTTCCTAAGGGCTTCTCCTCCAGACGTCCCCAGTGTGCACCCCTGCCACCACCCACCTGAGGGCTCCCCTCTACCCCCTCCCACCAGCATGATGCCCTGCCCCCGCACCTCCCTGCTGTGTCCTTGGGCCCCCCCCACTCCACTCCATCCCGACGTCACCTCACCGTGAGTCCGGGGGCAGCTGAGTCTCAGGCTGCTCACCGCCCCTCCTTTGTCCTCACTTTGCCTGCTGACCCCGCCCAGGCCCCAGGTCTAGCAGCCCCCCCGCACCCCCCCCTTGTGTCCGGACCTCCTCTGGGCTCTCCTGGGACAGAAGCTCGGGTCAGGGGTGGCATCTCTGCGCCACAGAAAGCCCTCAGGGCTCGTCTGCAGGACTGGCCACGCAGGTGTGCCTCTGGACCAGCAGCAGCGGCGTTGGGAGCTCGTTAAAAAGGTGGCCCCACTGAGGCGTCCTGAGCCCGGGTCTGCATACTCGCCAGCCCTGGGAGTCCCGTGTGCACACTGCAGTTTTAGAAGCAGCACGCTGTGGCCCATAGGGGTGCCCTGGCTCCGTCCCTCTGTTGTCCCTAACACGGCCGCTCTCTGCCGATGCTTTCTCGCCCCACAGTCCTGGTTTGTGTTTGCGACTCCACCGGCCCCGGCTCTGTGATGAACTGGCATAAACAGGCGAGTCCCCCACTCCCCTGCCGGGTCTGGAGAATGAGATGCAGCTTGGCCAGGAGCCGGACTACGGGGTGCAGCTGACCGCAGACCTCACTGTCAGGGGACCGCCCAGCCCCTGCTTCCAGACTGTTCTCGGGCTGCTCCCTGCTCCCGCTGGGGGATGGGGAGGTTGCACCCACGTGACGGGCTGTGGGCCTGGGCCACCAAGGCCACCCAGATATTAGAGAGGGTACCAGTGTGGCTGAATCCCAGAAACAGAGTTCACTTGAGCTCTGTGCCAAAAGTGAGCTCATCAGCCTCACTCAGCTGCTGGGCTGTGGCCAAGGCGGCCCCTCCAAGCCAGCTGTTTTGGGGTGGGAGGCAGCCGTCTGGGCCGTGTGTGTCCTGCATACTAGGAGCCCCAGAGGCTGCCAGTCTCTCCCACTGCCCCTCCCTTCAGCACCACCAGCCCAAGCCTGCAGCACCGGGGTGCCTGGGGGCGGCTTCTTAGAGATCCAAGCATAAGCTGCCCTGTCCCCTGGACATATGAGCTCAGAGACCCGCGGCTGGGGGCCAGAAGCAGGGCTCCCCTTGGAGTCCTTTCCCCCGGTGGACACAGCGGACGTTCCTCCATGAGGTGGGGGTGGTGCTGCTGGCCCCGGCTGCCGGCGGCACAGACCGCGGCTTTGCTCGGGGACAGCAGTTGTGCGGGTGCGTGCAAGGCTAGAACGGTCTCCACACCCTGAAGATGGCTCAGCTCCTTAAGTCTGTGCACCTGTGGGTCAGTGTCCCCAATGTGGTGGCAGACAAGATGGGTATGCAGGAGGGGTGTCCTGGGTCCTGGCATGTGGGCAGCCTCCCTGTCTGCTTCTGGGGTCAGCTCTCCCTCAGCACGTCCCCCGACACCCCGGAGGGGTGCAGGGACCCTGAGGAGGAGGGCTTCTGCCTGGCCCCGTGTAGGAGGCTGCCTGGGGACGGGAGGCTGGGAAGGGGGCTGCTCTAGTCCACAGGGTGGACTTGGCCTGGGAAGCAGCTTGCAGGGGACTGAGAGCACCCAGAGCCAGACCACGGGATTCACCCCATCTGTGCTCATCTGCTGTGAGACTTTGGGCAAGTGACTCAACCTCTCTGAGCCTCCATTCCTCGACTCTGGGCTGGAGAGATAGTGGTCCCTACCTCATGGGGCCGTCATGAGGATTGAAAGAAGTAGATCTGCCCTTGGCAACCCCAAAGCACAGGAAATTCCTCTCCTAGAAAGAGGGTCCTGGCCTGGCCTGGGAGACAAGTTAATGTTCAATTCCTTTGTATGTGTGTATATATATGTATGTATGTATATTTTGAGTAGGTCTACACCCAGCATGGAGCCCAACACGGGGCTTGAACTCATGACCCTGAAATCAAGACCTGAGCTGAAACCAAGAGTCAGACACTTAACTGACTGAGCCACCCAGGCACCACCACCCCTTGTATTTCACTTTTAATTTTATTTATTTATTTTTTTGACTTGGGCTGTTGAGGACGGGTTTTTTCCTGCATTCTGATCAATGCTTGTTTGTGAGGCTGGTCTTCTGATTACAACAGTGCGGTGTGGAAGGGAAAATGGGAGTGGGGCTGAGGCCCTGGGGCCTGCCTGTGGCGGTGTATTTGCATAAACAGGAACACTCCGGTGAGGGCATGGGGCCCAGCATGGTGGGCTCTGCAGCAGAAAATGGGTGTGTTTGGGCCTCAAGAGAGAATGTTCTGGGTTTGGAAGCTCAAATGAGGTATGGCATTGTGAGGTCTCATGAGGAATGGCAAAGGGAACCTGCCTGTCCACGACGGAGTCCCCACCAGGATCAAAGCCGCGTTTCAGCGAGAAGGGGAGACCCGGAGTCGGGCAATGAGAGTGAGAAATCCACAGAAACCACGCACTTGGTGGGTTTACAGGATCGGCCCACTTCCCTCCCAGCAGCCCCAAGACGGGGACACCGTCTGGTGCCTATTTTTGGAGGAATGGAAATTGAGATGATCCATGGTGCCTTGAGGAACCGCCCCCTTGGCAGTGCCTCTCTGGAGAATGGGGTGGATTCTGTTGGTCTGGAGGTTGGCAGTGTGCACAGTGGAAACGAGTATCTCTCAGCCCTCTGCTCTCCCGCATCAGGAAGGGCGAGAACCCAGGTGACAGTGTCCACTCAGGGCTTCTGAGGCCCTGCGCACCCCTCCAGGGACGGTGTGACCGGTTGATTGGGAAGGGAAGTCTCAGCAGAGCACCTGCTGTGGACAGAGCTCGCCCAGAGATGCTCTCTCCTCTCCTCCCTGTCATGGTCCCCCGGCCTCCCGTGGCCGGCCCAGGACGGAGCGCGCCCCCGCAGCGGACCCCCAGACTCCTGAGATTGGCCCAGGACAGAGCGTGCCCCCACAGCGGACCCCCAGATTCCCGCGATTGGCCCAGGACAGAGCGTGCCCCCACAGCGGACCCCCGGACTCCCAGGGCCAGCCCAGGACGGAGCGCACCCCCACAGCGGACCCCCAGATTCCCACGATTGGCCCAGGACAGAGCGTGCCCCCACAACGAACCCCCGGACTCCCA